ACTGTCATTCATTCTCATTAATACAATTATCATTCTTCATTACGTGGGTCCCACCACTTTGAGTCTTTCATCAATTTAAATTTGACTTTCAATCTAAACATTAAATAATATTAATAATTGTCTTCATATTTCAAAAATAAATTTAAACACAAATTTAAAAAATTTGTTCTCACTTCATAACAATTTTTTTTTATATATATTTAGATTAATTTGTATTTCAATTCTCTCCTTCTCCTAAACAAATCTCACAAAGATTAAATTTAGTTTCTATATATAACCTCCATGTCTATTAACCTTCATGTAATTTTTTAAAAAAGTCTTAATAATTTAATGGCATGAGAAAGTCAAATTTGACTTAAAAATCAATGTGGAATCAACAGATTTAAGAAAGACTAACTCGAAAATCTTGAAAATCTAACCCAACAATTAAAGAAAGCTAACTAACCAAAACACATTGATCAAAATTGAACCAATATGAACCAGATCTATAGAATCAAATTCAATTTGATTAGATATATCAATACGGTGGGATTTTAACAGGAAGAAATTCCAAATGGTTATATTATTTCATCAACTATGCAAATCAAAAATCCAAACAAGTAGATTTAAGAGATGGGTGTGGAATCCATTTAGAGAGCTCCAAAAAGGTTGTTGCAAAGCATTAGAAGTGAGTCAAATCAGAGGAGACTATACTTGACTCATAAAAATAAAATAAAATAAAAATCATTTTGGAACACAAGTTTTCACCACATATTGACTTTGTATTTTGTTGTTTTGTTTTGGTTGGAAGACAAGCATTAGAACCTGACCAAACAAAACCATGGGACAGAACAATATGACCAAAAACATGTCAACTTTTTGCCTTTGCCTTTGCCTTTGCCTCCAAAACAACACGAGAGATAGACCATTTTAATTCTTCTGCTTTTATGATTCAATGTCTTGCTAAACTTGGAGATGTGGCTGATTTGGAATTGGCCATCTCAATTTGCTTATCTCAAATATATACACTTCCATGTGCTCTGTTTTTTTCTTTTCAATCTCCTTTTTTGGCCTACTTCTTGGCCTTTTCCCACTTCAAACAAAGCTCCCAATTTCCAAATTGTCCAAAATGACTTTCTTTGCTTGGGATATATAATTTGATTTCTTTGGCCACCACAAATGGAATATTTTCCTTTTTTGAATCAACTATTTTTCAGGGTGTGCTTCTTTTGTGACGTATGGCTAGAAAGAAACCTTTCTAAAGACATTGCGTTCTTTGATTCATATCTATCTTAAAATACTTTGGCTTGAACATAAATGCATGTCTTTATCTTGCGTCAATCAATATGATGTCCCCTCAATCTGTCTTAGTGAGAGAGCTGACAATTAAAGCTTTCTTGATAAGGAACTAAAGAAGTTGACTAATAGCCCTTGCTTCAAAGGCTAAATGGTCTTAATTTGTGTTATTCGGAATCCTAGTTGTACATAGAGCATAAGTTGTCAATATTCATTGTACATACTTTATTTGTGCATACTTGAGTAAAACAGTGAACTTTATTGCACATTCTAAGTTAAAACTTCAAGGTAATGCACACTTGAATGTGTCCGGCACACTTTGAATGTGTCCGGCACACTCGTAGATGTTCAAAGTTCATAAAATGCTGATTTCGAGGTTGTTTTAGACTCGTCAAAGTTCTGACCAATCAGACTAAGTTAGTCGAGGCTGTTATTAGCAGTCCACCCTCAATCAATTCAAGTTGATAGAAGTTAGTCCCACGATTTTCTCTGACCATCACAAGACTGATGGAGTCCTGTAAATACCCACGTGAAGTAGCCATTTGGAATGCCATATATTCCAGCATTATTCCTTTAGTTTCAATTCTATAAGAAGTCATTCTTTCATTAGATAGTCTTAGTTAGATTTAGGTCCTTTTGTTTAGATTTCCTAATCGATTGAAAGAGGGGAGAAAGTAAGGAGAAGATGTTGTAAGCTTATACGAGAGAGTGATCCATGTGCGAAATTGAACCTTAGTAAGTTTGTTACTCCGTTTAAGCCTAAAAGAGGAAGGGCCAAGCTAGAGTTCCTGTATTTCTCTCCTGAGAATTTAATTTCTTATTTGATTCTTTTTACATTTTTTGAACCTTTCTGTACCGTAATGAAAAGTTTTATTTCTTCTTCATATATATATATGTATATGTATATATATATATATATATATATTTCTTTTTTGTTTTCTTTCTTTCCACTGTGAGCTAAATTACTTTCTAATTCTTCCGTGAATGTCTTAGCCTATTTTATAAATTAACTGCAACGGGCAAGAAGCAAAGCATTGAGCACTCTTCGTTGATTGGCTTGATTGATTATATCTTTAAATTGATTCTTGAATTTGACAACTTGAACAATCCCATAAGTTTTAGAGTAATAGGTGAAAATATAAGGATAAAATGGATCTTATTTATTGGGTTTTGGCAAAATATTGAAATGAAAGTTGTCCGTCTCCATATGCTAGAAGTTGTCCCACATCGGAAAAGTACAAGGAGGAGGTATGTTCCGACTACTGTAAAATGAGCTCATGGGCTTGAATTTGTAGAAATACTTTAAGTCTGCTATACCAGCTCTAGTTAAAAGATTGTTTTGTGTAATTGGGTCGAGAATTTCTCCCTTGTGCGCCGTGGTTTTCTTATGTTTTTTTTATTTTATTGCTTTATTTAAATTTCTCACGGGAGATTTTTCCCATCATTATCAAGTTAAAATGGTAAGTAGCTTTAGAAATAAAGTACTCAAACGGAAACCTAAACATTAGCCTTATCTTGTAAATTTTAATTTGATTCCTACCATTAGCTTATTTTTACCCACAAACTAGCTTATTTTTTCCCTATACATTTTCTTAGCCCTAAATTCGGATGCAATTAACTAATAGAGTTACCAGATAGAAAACACTAGTTCTATATATTCACATGCAAATAAAAATCATGTCATATATTGATGGCGTATTTGACTCAAATGATTGGTCAAGCTAAGTAGCTTGTCCATTGCTTCTTCGAACGAAGAAAGGGCGCAAGAAGAGCATGTGCATGCACACAAAGAAATCTGCGTGCTAGTGTGGTGCAACCATACAAGTATTACCCTTTGTATTTGTTGTCAAGATCGGGCTCTCCCTGTGTCATGATGACCTATATTGACTCCACCCTTTGTCAATGCAACCTCACAATTAACTGGTTTAAGGTATATGTTCCGACAAAAAGATAATGGTTTGAATTTTCATCCCCACCAGATCTATGGTTGTACTAAAAAAATATTAAATTGTGTGAATTCATGTCACTAACAACATTAGGGAATTTGTAATGATTGGTTGAAATATTCGTCATATTTGTAAATGTAGCAACAACTTTTGAGTTTTGTAAACATGACATTTGAAATTTGATTTTAGATTTTTGAGTTATTTCGATTTTTCCCTTCCGGTTTTTCATACATATCGATGATGTATCAAATTAGATATATCAATAGTATATCAACATTCATATCAAGTATATCAATATTATAGATTCCTTCAATAATATAACAAATCAGGTATGTCAATGATATAGCAACATTCATATTAGCTATAAAAGACAAACATTTCATTTAAAATTTGTAAATAACACAACACAATTCAATAAGAAAAATTGAACATAAGTAATATATTAGGTATACCAGGTATATCGTTGGTATATCAACACTCACAATCAGGAATATCAATGATATATCAAATCAAATATAATATATTATTATATTTAGCTACGTCTTTATGTCTCGTGTTCATTAAGGATATATTAGACTTTTACTTTCTGTTGCATTGGTTGACCTCATATTTTGCTATTTTTACAAAATTGAAAAGTGGTGGCTACTTTTACAAATTCATATTAACTTTTTACTAATTTTGCAAGTACCTCCTAAGAAATATGACTTAATATGTTTATTGATAAATAGCCACTATAATTTTTTTAAGATGATAAATAAAGAAAACAATTAAAAAAAAGCATAAACATCTCCCTCATTAAGAAGCAAATCTAGAAGGGCAAACCTGCTCCCAAGCTTTTGAGAATTCTGAACAGCACTCGAAATGTAACGTTTCGTTGATGAACAAACCTATTTTTAAATGGTCAGTATCTTCTTCCCTCATGAATCAGATTACTTCAACAGAGTCATATTCGACAATTTTTAATAAATATTTTATATTTAGTTAACAATGTAGTTAACTAAATATTATTTTAGTTTAGTGAAATTTGCACGTACATAACTCATATTTTACTTATTTAGATTTAATATTTTTATCCCCAATTCTATAAATATGAAAACAATTCAACACACACAAAAATTTGCAAGTCACTATCAAATTAAAGGAGGACAAAATATCAAAATGAATAAAATAATTGAATGGTATATAATCGACAAATAGTTTCGTAAATACATCTATAATTAATAAATAAGACTCGCCATAGTTATTCCGTAGTGCGGAAAAATAATATACATAATTACCACATTAAATTATTTTTTTTTCCTTTTTTGAGAATATTAAATTATGTTATTTATTATAATTTCGTCGGTGTAAAATCTCCAACTATCAACTGTACTAACAAATACCAATACCATCAATTAAATAATTATGAAGATAAACAAAAAAGGGAAAATTTTATTTTCAGGTTGCTCAAAAAAAAAAAAAAAGCCCCCCAAATGTTTCTTGTAATTAATAACCGGCCCCACATTTCGTGAAACTCTCTTCTCCCACATTCAATTTAACCCATCCAAAATTGCTTCGCAATCATCACTACTGTGGTTTTGCCCTTCCGCTGCTGCATTATTAGTTTACCGTTTTCTCCACTCTCTTCAGTTATCATATAATCAATTACTCTCTCTTCAATCCCCATTTTCCCTCTGCGTATAACAGACACAAGCGCCATTGCTGTTGAAACAACTTCTTCTTCTTCTTCAAGGCTTCAATGGCAGCGGTTTGAGCATTTTTCTGTTTGTTTCTGTTTCTGTTTCTTCCCTTTTTGCGAGTCTACCTCAATAATCATAACTTTTCTGCCTTTTCTAGCCACCCATTACTGTTTTTTCCATTTGAATTTGATGCCAATTGTTTACTTTAACCAGCGGCATTAGCTACAGAGAAATCATTGCACTTTTTTTTTCTCGCTCACCCAGCAGCTTTTAGGACCTACATTTTGAAATTTCTTGTTCAGATTTGTGAGCTGCTTTTGCCTTTTGAGCGACGGGGGCAGCTGGGAATTTTTGAAGTTTTGTTTGTTTGCGTTTGTGTGTGAGGTCTCTCTGGGTTAATGATTTAGATCTTAAGCTAATACTCTGCTGCTTTTGCTCTGTTTTCTAGGAAAATGTTATTTTATCTTCTTTTCTTTTACCCTTTCTCGTTTCTTGTAATTCTGGGATTCCTTCAATTTCCAGCAAAGCGAATGCTGAACTGGGTAAAGAACAAAAAGAAGCTTGGTTTCGAGTGAAGGACTCTCTGCACTCTTAATTTGTGGAATATAATAAACCCTTTTTTTTTTACTAAACTTCAAAATTCAAACCCTGCGAGTTTTATCGCAATCGCTTCTACTTTTCTCGACAATGTCCTTGGAATCTGGATTTTCTATCTCCCTCTTTTCTTTCTCATTCCATTCTCCCTTTTTATACTGATTTCAAATTTGTCTGTCTAATCTATTTAACCCGTTTCTCTTTTTCTTTTCTCCCTCTGCTGGGTTCGCTACAGTTTAAACCGTAGACGCGCGTGGAGGGAGCAAAAAGGCCCTCGCAGAAACATTTCTCTGCTCCACAGGCCTCTAATGGAAGCTCTGCGGATTTTCTGCTTTGTTTTCTTTCTGGGGTTGGTCTATTCGCCGAGTAACGCTGACCCAGTTGAAGACAAGCGAGCTCTACTTGATTTCGTGAAGAATCTCCCTCACTCTCGCTCGCTTAATTGGAATGAGTCGTCTCCGGTTTGCAATTACTGGACTGGTATAACTTGCAGTGAGGATGAATCTCGCGTTATAGCTGTTCGGTTGCCCGGAGTTGGCTTCCACGGCCCGATTCCGGCGAATACTCTCAGCCGTCTCACGGCGCTGCAAATATTGAGCCTCAGATCCAACCGTATAACCGGGGATTTCCCTTCTGATTTCTCAAATCTTAGCGATTTGTCTTATCTTTATCTTCAGTTCAACAACTTCTCTGGGCCATTACCTTCCAATTTCTCTGTCTGGAAGAATCTCACATTTGTGAATCTCTCTAACAATGGCTTCAATGGCCGCATTCCTCCTTCACTGTCTAATTTAACAGAGCTCACGGGTTTGAATCTCGCCAATAACTCACTCTCGGGAGAAATCCCTGACCTGAAAATCCCCAAATTACAGGTTCTGGATGTGTCTAACAACAACTTGAGTGGGAGTGTGCCTAAATCGCTGCAGAGATTTCCAAGGTCCGTATTTGTAGGCAATGAGGTGTCTTTCGAAAGTCCTTTACCGAACAATCCTCCTGTGCCCCCGCCATTGCCCAAGTCGAATGCGAAGCCTAAGAATTCTGGGGGGCTTGGAGAAGCAGCATTGTTAGGAATCATAATAGCTGGAGGCGTTTTGGGGCTTCTGGCATTTGGGTTTCTGATACTTGTTTGCTGCTCGAGAAGGAAGAGGGAAGACGAATATTCGGGGAATTTGCAGAAGGGCGGAATGTCGCCGGAGAAGGTGATATCTAGGACTCAAGATGCAAACAACAGATTGGTTTTCTTTGAAGGGTGTCATTATGCTTTTGACTTGGAGGATTTGCTGAGGGCTTCTGCTGAGGTCTTGGGGAAGGGGACTTTTGGCACTGCATATAAAGCAATTCTGGAGGATGCTACTACAGTTGTTGTTAAGAGGTTGAAGGATGTAAGCGCCGGGAAACGCGATTTCGAGCAGCAAATGGAGATCGTTGGCAGTATCAGGCATGAGAATGTGGTTGAGTTGAAAGCCTATTATTATTCCAAGGATGAGAAGCTGATGGTTTATGATTTCTACAGTCAGGGAAGCGTCTCGGCTATGTTACACGGTATGTACTATCTCGACTATGTACTGTCCCGTTCCTTGAACAAACTGATGATGATTGTAGTTTCATTTTTTTATGCTGCAATGCCTTTACTCTGCTGAAGATTATAACTAAAATCACAATCTTTCATTGAATACTATTTCTTCCTTGAATTAGGGCACAGCTAGTAAGGAGTTTCAGGTGAGTTTCTTTGAGGATTTCTATCTTGGTGGGAAAGAAGTTGAAGCTGAAAAACTCAACTGCAGAAGCAAATAGGATTTTACCAAGTTCTAATCATTATTGAAGTTAATATTTTGATTTGCTAAGAAGAACGTGACATTATATTTGACCCCAACATGAGCATAGCCTAGCAGTAATTGACATTTATTCATTTTTTAAAATCGGAGGTTCAAACCTCCACACCCTCAATTTGCTGTAACTAAAGAAAAAACATGACGTTATATTAGACCCTTTAAATCAGTTATAGAGGTAAACTTCTAAGTCTAGACTTCGTCCCACATCGTATTGATTCACATGCTCAATCTAACGTTGGTTGCCCGAAGTGAGAACTGATTGTCGAATGCCAATAGTTAGGAGCAATATAATTGGATGTCCTAAAGTGAGTTTCAGTAACACAAATTTATCAAGGGTCTGCTCTCCCACAGCATGGGAAATCTGAGTCTGCTGTTTCAATATATTTCTCAAGTTGCTTGTCTTGTTTCTTCTCTACGAGTCATGGATGTGTCCTTTTTCTCCAGGAAAACGCGGAGAGGAAAAAACGCCATTAGACTGGGACTCAAGACTAAGAATTGCAGTTGGTGCAGCGCGAGGGATTGCCCGTGTCCATGCCGAAAGCGGAGGGAAGCTCGTCCATGGAAATGTGAAATCGTCAAACATCTTTGTGAACTCTCAACAGTATGGATGTGTGTCTGATCTTGGACTAGCAACCATAACGAACTCGCTCACTCCACCGATATCCCGTGCTGCTGGTTATCGAGCCCCAGAGGTGACAGACACCCGAAAGGCAACACAGGCTTCTGATGTTTTCAGCTTCGGCGTGGTGCTCCTTGAGCTTCTAACTGGAAAGTCCCCGATACATGCGACAGGTGGCGAAGAGATCGTGCACTTGGTGAGATGGGTTCATTCAGTTGTCCGAGAGGAATGGACAGCTGAAGTATTTGATGTAGAGCTGATGAGGTATCCCAATATAGAGGAAGAAATGGTTGAGATGTTACAGATAGCCTTATCATGTGTAGCAAGGATACCGGATCAGAGACCGAAAATGGGTGAAGTAGTGAAGATGATAGAGAACGTTCGACCGATGGAAGCCGAGAATCGACCTTCTTCCACAAACCGATCTGAAAGTTCAATGCAGCAACAGCAAGCTGTTGGGGTTGAGACAGAAAATTCAACCTCTCAGTCTCATTGAGTTGAGGTTGAGCCATTTGTTTTCTTTTACTTCTTATATGATCTCATTTAGTTTATTGCAAATCTTCTTTGTTTAGATTTTCATTTGAATCTCTTCTCCAGATTCTAGTTTTGTAACAGTAAATGAACACAACTGCTAAATTTATTTTTCTTCAACTCGATTCCAGTTGGCTAAAGTTCAAATCATATTGACTTTTTATTTAGCTGCAACTAGTGTTAAGGATACGATAAATGCAAGGTAAGAACTTGAATTACTTGATTCCTGAGAACTTGAATTACTTGATTTTAGAAGTACGTTATCGTTTACAGTTAACTTATTAAGTTATGCTCATGTTAATGTATTACGGTAGATTTAACCTTATATCAATATTTTTACAAATAGAAGCCAGGAATGACAAAATTTTTCACAGTGGGTCTCGCTCGCTTAAATTATGTAGCTAAATATGAATGGATTGGATAGATATGAAAGAAAAAAAAAATCTTTTATAAGATTAATATTTGGAATAAGGAAAAACGTATGGATAAAATATCAATTTAAACCAAATTATTGACAGCATAGATTTAAGACTTGAGTTTGGTTATTATATTTATGCCTATTTTGCAGTCAAAATAAAAATAAAATAAGCATGATGAATTCAGTCTGTGATTTTTTAAAACTATATTCTAGTGGAACTAGAATGTTTGAATTTATAATCATGGTATTAAATATTCTTCAATATGTCAACATTTTCATCGATATGTTCATGTATCCAATCGTTCGACATCGACATGATGGATAAATCTACATTTTCAGCATAGTATAAAAAAATCGAGAAAATATAAAAAATATCTATAAAATGTCACTAATATATACATAATGTTAATCATTTTGACTTATTTAGAAATAGAATAATGTTTATTTATTAATTTAAATATCTTTTATGATTTTTTAATTTCTCTTAACTTCTATAAAAATATAAATCGAAATCGAGATATTTCATAAAATTGAGACCTCGAAATCTTGAAAGATGAAAGAATAACAACAACATAATTTTAAAAATATATTTATATTTAGATTTACAGATGATAAAATTATCAATGAGGGATGGGATCATGTGGGACCCAATCAGAAGGAGACAACAAAATTTTCTGTCTTATCAATCATGGAGGTAAAGATAAAGATTTCACCTTTGAACAAAAAAAAAAGAAAAAGGTAAAATATAATAAAAATAAAGATAAGGATTTTTCCTTTTCCTTCCTTTTTTTTCAAGTACATCTGGGGAATGTCTTCCCCACCTTCATCCCAACCTTCTCCGGATCTCTAAATTTATATGTAATAATATTTATGTTATTAAGAAGTTAAATAGTATATACGAAGTAAAGTACTAAATTTAACATTCAAATGAGAATAGTTAAAATTAATATATATTTTATTTTATTTATATAAGTGACTGCTTTTATTAATTATTAATTTGAAGTTGTCAATCTAAGCATGACTTAAATGGATAAGATATCTATTATTATCTCTAAAGTTATGGTTCGATCTCCCACTTATATAATTATTTAATTAAAAATAAGTATCAACTCAAAGTTACAGTAAAAAAAGGTTAAGTATTCCAAAGGAAGAGTAGAGAATTAGGGCTATTTCCGTTTTCAAAACGGTGGGTAGGATTTGTTAAGATAAGTTCTCGTTTGTTTCATAGTTTTATAAATTCATGTTTGTTATAGTTCTACCTTCATGTTTAAATACTATTTCATCCCAAGGTTGCAACAGTAAGCATTATTCCACTCCTAAATTAGTACAGTATATATTTTTGTCTTTATTCTCTCCTTTAAAATACATTTATTTTATTAATTAAATATATTAAATAAATGAGAAAATTAATTCATTATAATTGTAATTATAAATAAGTAAATCAATTTAATTAAAATTACATGTAATAAATAATTAATTCATATATTAACACTTGTTTATCTAGATTTTTTTTTCAAATGATCCAAGTAAAATCTAATTATTTTTTGTTTTTTTATATAGTTGTTCATTTTGTTTCTACCATTTTTATTTACATTTTGTTATCGCTCTCACATTTGTAAAAATTTTTATGGTAAGATAGAAACTTTTTAAAGAATATTAAATCTTTATTTATTTAGGTATTAGAATTTGTTTGTTAGGAAGAAGTTGAATAATCTTGTGAAATATTTATTTAATATTTCTATTAAAATTTCATATGATATTCGATGAAAATATAATCCAATAAAAAAAATCTTATTTTTAAGTTTTGAAATTTAGTTTTGTAAATATATTATTTTAGTTTAAAAAATTTGTAATTTATGAAGATAATATGATGAATGAGAAAGAAAACTAACATTTACAGTACTTTGAAATATACTTTGTTGGTTTACTCGTTGTTGATGGTGAACCATATAGAATGTATGTTGAAATGTACCTTGAAGAATATCATAAAATGTAAGTATTCTTATGTATTTTGTGAAAAATAAAAGTCATTTGCATAATTAATGAAAGACATTACAATTTTGTATAATTATTTATTTTAATTTTATATCTTCTTTTTACTTTATCAAGTTTAGTAGTTTTTAAACAATTATTATTTAAAAAGTTTTCACTTTGTAATAAACGTAATTGTCAGATAAATAAAAGTGAAATTTAATAGTAATGTTGATGATAATTAAGTAAACAAATTTTCTTAAGATAGTAAATAGTGAAAAATTAAATAAATGGTTGATAACATTTTCTCTATGGTAAAATTTATGTCAATTGAATTTGTATACTCTTGTTTAGACTTTGATAAATACTTTAAGTATTTTCATAGATAATTGAATATTTATTTTAAAAATTAATCATTGAAAAAAAATGGATGGACAAATATATTAAAAATATTTTATATATCCTTAAAATAGTATTTCTTAATTTCACAAAAAAATTGACTTCTGTAAAATAATTAGTTTATAACCAACCGAACACAACTTTAATAAAGGCAGTTTAACAAAATACAAAAACAGACTTAACAAACCTATACTTAACACCAACCAAACACACAGACTTAACAAACCCAGACTTAATAAATCCGGACAAAACTGCGAACCAAATACCCATGACTTTCTCATCTTTTCTCATTTATCTCTCCCTTATTTAATTATAATTTTATTCTCTCATTAACTTGTTTATTTAAAACTTCTCTCATCAACTTTTAATTCTCTCTCCCCAACCATCTAAATTCTCGAAACATTATTATATCTCATAAATTAGTTAACAATTTATTAATAATTAATACGCTAGATTTAAAGTATTATTTTCTGACAAAATTAGATTCTAAATTTAGTTTTGTCTTTTCGTTATTTATTAGTTTAAATTATAAGATAAAATTTAGATATTATTCTATGATGTAATAATTTATCTTTGAAATATTATTTTACAATAACAAAAAAATAAATTAATAATTAACATATAAATATTATTTTACAATAACAAAAAAATAAATTAATAATTAACAAATAAAAATTATATAGATCAAAATTGACCAAATATATAATTAAGAAGTAAAATAGGAGAATATCTATATTTTTAAATTGAGATATTAAAAATCAATTTAAAATTTCATAAGATTTAACATAAACAAATTATTATTGAACATTTTGTTTAGGGGAGCAAAAATGTAAATATCATTCTATTATGTAATAATTTGTCTTTGAAATATTATTTTACAATAATAATAAAAAAAATTAAATTAATAATTAGCAAATAAAAATTATGTATATCAAAATTGATAAAAAAAAATATATATATATTATTAAGAAGTAAAGTATACGAATATTCGTGTTTTTAAATTGAGATATTGAAAATTTCCTAAGATATAACCTAAACAAATTATGAATATTGAAAAAAAAATTTAGGGAACAAAATTTAAGTGCACCACAAAATGGATTAAATGAATGAAACATAAAAGGTGAAGAATATCAAAATTTTGTCTTTATTTATATAAATTAATTTTAAAATCTTTATTTTGTAGTTAATTTTAATATCATTATTTTTTATTTTAAATATTTTTACATATTTAAAAATGGTTAGGTTGTCTGTTTTATTTAAATACTGATTTTCTCATATACATGAAGAAAAAATAACTATCCTATCATTTTACTTTATGATATACTTTCAACGAACATTAAATAATATTTTTTAGGAATGCAATGGAAAAAAATAATTTTACTAAAACAAATATACCATTATCTAAAGTTATTTTATTTAAAATAAAAAGTTAAAAGTAACATGTATCTTCGTAATTAAAACTTTGTTTGAAAGTAAATTTTATTATTAGACACACAATAACAATATTTTTAAGGACAACTAGAGCATAGCTGGTCAGCTATTAATGCACGTTTATCCAACCATGAGGTTGCTGTAAATATATATAAATTAATTTATTCAATCGTAAACTATTTATTTTAATAAATGTTACTAAATTTTAAGAATAATAAAAAAATCACTTACTATGGATATACAATTTATTTTGTTATAAATAAAAATCATCGTAGTATTTGATAGATTCATAATTTTTTTATAATTAAAATTAACGTTTATAAATGATAAAACTTTTGAAGAATTTTTATTTTATGTAGTTTAGCCAAGGAGTTATTATAAAATTAAGATCACGGAAATCTTTTTGACATTATGAGTTTTTTTTTTTTGTTTGATAATTTGCAATTATGAATTCCACGTGCAGTTTACAGGTTGCAGCGGCTATTAATCATCATTTGAGAGTATAGGGGTAAATAATTGGGGGTTGAAAATGAAAGGAGAGGCCAATTAATAATTACGGTGGTATCTTTCTTTTTTTTATTATTATTATTATTTTTCTCGTTCCTACGTGGCGTGGCCCATAAGTTGGAAATATTTTCTCCAAAATAGGTTATTATATATTTTGATTCATCGTAAAGAAATCAAAATGAAATCGATTGAAATAAGAATGTTGTTTATTATTTTTCTTTAAAAAAAAATCATAAATCATTTCATGTTATTTATTAAAACTGTTTCAAATCAAAATAGGAATCTAACTCTATAACAATTATTATTAATATATGTATTTTTTATTTTTAACTAATTAAAAATATATCATTCTAATATTTTTTAATTAAAATAATAATAAATATTTATTTATTTTATTATTATTTTATTTTTAGTAAATATTGTTTTATTATAAGTATAACCATTTATTTAATATTAATAAATAATAAATAATTAAAATAAAATTACATCAATTAAAATAAAATTTTACTAGAACAACCCTCAATTAATATTAAACTTGGTTGTTATAATATTTAATAGCAGTGATTCTATTTTTAAAAATGTATTGATATTAATTGATTTAAATAATATATATATACACATGCGCGTGTAATATGCAAGGTGGGATTAAAATTCATTACCTCTCGATTGTAGATAGACGTCTTAACAAGTTGAGCAATACAAAAGAAATTGTTTTAAAATTAACTTGATTTAAATTATATCAATCTATAATTTTACCGTAAGCAAAAGAAATGTCTTAAAATTAATAATAATTTTGGGTTCACTCGATTCAGTTTTAGGTGAACCTTGTAATCAACCTAATCCATAGAATTTTCACAAGAATTTATAGCAGGTGTTCTTATTTTTCGTCCAATTTAAAAAAAATGGTCAAATGGTCCTTGATAATGAAAAACGTTCCTTTGATTATTTTGGAATTGTTGTGCACGTTTGATTTTGACTGTTTGACTATTTTTATTTGGTTCTTGTTTTTAAAATTAAAATGTTCTAACTTCCACTATCTCACCTAGATTCTAACCTTTTTTTTTCATAAATTATACCTTATTGTTTCTAGTCTTTTTTTCGTCCCTATATTTTCGAGTTGGGTCAAGCAAATATAAACTCTCTTGAATATATATATAGACACACACGTGGTGGGAGAAGTCACTGAATCTATATAGACATATATAGACACACACGTGGAGACATAACTCACTGAATCTAAGAAGATAATACACCGAGAGAGATGATTGGAGTTGAGTCCACAAAGGAAGAGAGAGGAGACTGGAGACATAACTCACTGAATCTAAGAAGATAATACACCGAGAGAGATGATTGGAGTTGAGTCTACAAAGGAAGAGAGAGGAGACTGGAGGTGATATGAACCGCCTGGTACTTTAAACTATGATATAACTTTATTTAAGAGTTTCTTTTATGTAATTTATTGCTTTGCAATTTTACCACCATTCATTTGAACACGTTAAGTAGGGACACTTTCGTCGTTTTTGTATGATTGATGATGTTGCATTTAGAGTTTAGTCGGGAGACAGTCTGTTTTTTAGATTAGTTTTGAATGAGATTTTGTGCCTATGAGTTGTTTCCGGCCACAACGAGCGCTTGAAACTTTTGCAATTCTTAATCTAGGTTTCAAGTTTCGAATTTCAAGTTAAGTTTGATCAACCTCTCTTGTGGAGTGTTCAATCTTGAGTAGGGAACTACTTCTCCTTTACCTCGTGACCTTCGATCAACAAGGTAACCTTATTCTAACTTTTCTGTGAGTTGGGTTTTCATATCAGGAGGTATCAAGTGAGGGAGACTTAATTTAATAAAAACCAACTGTAACCTCAGGTCAAGGTCCTATGTTTAGGGTACCCGAGCCAAACTAATAATTCTCCAAAAGAGAGTTATTTGGGTGAGAAATTCCATATAAATTAGCTAAGGATAGCTACACTTAACTCCCAATCTACATGTTGTCTAAAATGCTAGAATATTTCCATTCTTCTTAGCCTTGCGAATTTTGTTAGAAGTTAAATCCATAAAGTTGTAAAATATATTCACCATTTTAGTATTGATGCTTGATTAAAACATTAATTGGCCGAATCAAGTTTTAACTTTGTAAAACAATCTTAAGTGATAAAAGAAAAGAAAAACACATTTTGTCTGGTTCGATTTTGAAAACTTTAGCTAATCATCTATGACTGGGCTTGTGAAAATAAATTTAGCTCATGGAAAAAACATAATTGAACATTGATGTAAATAAGAGACATGATTAAAAGATGAATATAATTAAAACAAGCTAAAAATGGTGGAGTTATAACCCAAATGACCCTAACCTCCCTTTCAAGATTGGGGAGTAGTACTCAGTCAATTCCACAAGATTGTGTGATTACAACTTCAAAGGTAGAGAGAGAAATAAAGATGAACGAACTTGTTGGAATTTAACTTAATAAGATCAAAAGCTTACAATTGAAAAGTAACAAGCTGAAAAACAAAGAATGAACTTGAAAATAAACTAAGTTTAAAATAACAGCACTTAAGAACTAAGGGGAAAACATATTAAGCTGAGAACAAATTATCTAAAGTCGAAAATGATCACTTGAGGATGATGAATGAAGTGGGGGAGATGCTGTATTTATAGAGAACTTTATGATAAGAAAACAATAGGTAATTGGATCTAAGAACCCTTATGGTTATGCAAACCTCAAGATCACAAATGTTAAAACCCCCAACAAGATGATTTCAACCCAAAGAAGAAGTTAGAACGAATTTACCTTGATGATCAAGGTCAAGAGTAGAGAAAACTTTTTTCCGAACTCAAGATTCGAATCACTCCACAAGTTAGCTTGATCAAGGCTACTTGAATGATTCTAGTATGCAATTCTAAAACACAAGAAATGCAAAGGAAAAGCTCATGGCTCAATAAGCTCAAATTTCATTATCTCAAAACTCAAATCTCAAATCTGTCTTTTACAACGGAATAAGCTAGGCTATATATGGCCTCCAAAACAATGCCTAAAAGTAACCTAAACACAATGTAAAGGTTGTAACTCCCTGGTACATCAATCCCATAACCACCACTGACTCAAAAACAACTTAAAAGTGGCGAATGAAAGGTTTAAAACTGAAAATACAATTAAGTGTGCTTTAAATCTGAGAATGAAACTACTCCATCATAAAACCAAGAGTTTATAACCCTCTAAAAGTAAATGAAATGAAGTTTGAACTAGTTTGAAGCACTTTAAAGTTTTGTTCATTTAATGCATATTGAGTTCAACTTTGACTTCCATTAATGTAACTTGAGTTGGCCATAAATGAAACTAGAGTTCATTTAATGCAACTCCAATTTGTTGTCAATTTGGACATAAGATTCTCCAACACTTTCCTTTAAATCCTTGAGCACGAAGACGCTTTGGTTCATATCACTTCAAGTCGGTTAGGAGGTTGAGACTGAGAGTCATCCCTTTAAAACATCCTTTAAGTTGGTTTGACACGTGGAGGGACTTGGGAAGCTTCAAAACACTTGCATTTTACATTGAGAGCATTCTCAGAATTGGGCAAGATCCCATACGCCTAGCTTGGATTTTTTCTGTACAAATTGTAATTTCCGTTAGAAATTAACTGTAAATGATGTAAAAATGTCCTATATGCATGTATAATAACATAAGATAACTCCGAATGAAAGGTTTTAGACACTAAACTAAGTTTAAAATACGGTTTCTAAGTGTAAAACAATAGAAAACAGCACCTAACTAGTTTCTTTTTACTGTTGTAAACAAGGAAAATCAAGTACCTTTATTCACCTCGTATTTACTTACCGTATTTGAAATTTTGTTTTTTTAGTATCATTTTCAATAATGATTTTCTTTTTTAAATTTTCTTTTAGATTTTAATTTAATGGATACTTTTTCATAAGAACTTTGTAGAGTATAGTTCTACCAAATTGGTGGGAAAAATATTTGAATCGATAAGTATAGATAGGATTTTATTGGAAAAAAATATAGTAGGATTCTCAGAAAAAATATATATGGACAGGATTCTTGAGAAAAAATAATACAACGATAATTCTTATTTTTTCTTTGGCCATTCTTGAAAACTAAAAGTTGTTGCCATTCTTTTAAATGGTTTGTTTTAACCGGTCATTTTGTCCAAATTCAAATTTTCATTTATTTGAATTAAACCCAACCTAGACAAATTTATAACCAACCCAAACCACAAGTTGATTAAATTGATGGATTTTTATGAATCATTGTGTATTTTGAACACTCTTATCAAAACATAGGATGTTCAAATACTAATTAAAAAAAACATAATTTGTAATATTTGAATATTCATTGTGGGGTCCACATGAAGTAGACCAATCAGCTACACGAGTCTATGGAGTACAGTACAGTGCTCCGCTCTCTCTCTTTCTCTGTGTGTTTATTATTGTTATTATTATTTATTTATTTATTTAATATTTGGAATATATAAAAGTGGGTTCTGTAAATAATTGTAAGTCCTCTCTTTCTTCTCTCAGGCAAAACAACAAACACGCAGGAGGATCTCATTCTCAAGGTGAGCGACCTTCTTCTATTCCTTTCTTCTCTTCTCTTCTCTTCTCTTCTCTTCTGCTGCTTGTTTTTGCTTAATTTCTTTCTTTTCCTTTTTTATCAACTCCAAACGATCTGCAGAGGTTGGACTCTTTTGGATTTGGTTATGGCATCGAAGCGGATCTTGAAAGAGCTCAAGGATCTCCAGAAGGATCCTCCTACGTCTTGCAGTGCAGGTTTCCTCTTCTTCTTCTTCTTCCTCTCTCAAAATCGTTTTTCTGAAAGAGAGGAGGGAGGGATTAAAACGAATGAAAAATCTCGTTTGATTTATTTTTCTGGAGCTCTGGAAGGGAGCTTTGTTCGGTGTTTTTGATCTTGTTTCTAGTTCTTATTGTGTTTTTTAGCCGGAGGATGGACTGTATGTGCTGTATTGAACGTTTTTGGGCTTCGGACATGTCATGATGTCAAGATGTGAGAAGACGGCGATTAGAGTTCTGATCTCTCGTTCTAAATGTTAATTGTTGCAAAACAGCAATACCTATATCAGGATCACACAGTAACACATCGATTAGTTCTAGTATATGATCCTTGTGCATGTTTGGAATTGCCGAGCTTAAATCATGTGCTTCATGTGATAATGAATGGTCACTGAGCTGGGGAGTTCTAAGGGACTGGGGAGAAAATGAAATTGTATTTTTTCTTAGCTGACAATCAGCCTTGACACCTGCAGAATGAAAGTTGAAAGAAACTGCCCCTTGAAAATACTCGACCAAACAGAGGTTTATGTAATCAAATTTATTCTGAACCTCAGATTTTGACCACATCACTCCTGAGTGGTAGTTAAAGTTGACTATCAAGGATTCTCAATCTTAACTTTTCGCTGTGTCACAATTTTCAATCTAATTATAGTTCTTACTGTGTGAATGGCAAATTGGATGTCAGGTTTCTTTAGTCAGCTTCCAAAATTTGTTACTAGGGTAAGAACCAATTTTAGTCTTACAGAGCAATCAACCCAACACTATACGCCATGATTTTCTTTATAACTGAAAATTTTTGTAAATTTTATATTTGTTTGTTTTTGTTTTCCATTTTTCGGCTTATTTCCTTGATAAATTTGATTCTGGGACAATTATGTCCATTTTATTATATTTTTAATGTACATGTACTTCAGGTGTTATTATAGAATTATTATGTTCACTTACCGAATTTTAGTTGTCTGTTTAATGAACATCTTTAGGCCCAGTAGCTGAAGACATGTTCCATTGGCAAGCAACAATTATGGGCCCTCCTGACAGTCCATATGCTGGCGGAGTGTTTCTTGTCAACATTCACTTTCCTCCAGATTATCCATTTAAACCACCCAAGGTACTTCAGAACGATTGCTCCATTTAGATGACATTGTTTCTATGTTACTTAGGCATGCTTGTTTTTTACGAGGAAACAAACTTTTCACTAAAATGGTGAAAAGTTACGAAGTACAAAACTCTGTTACGACTACGATGAGTATAAGGATCCCTATCCAACTGAGATTGCAAGAAAACAAGATAACTTGATAGAAAATCCAAATAAGAGAAATTATAAATTTCCCAACAAAAGGAACTTGCTAAAAGATTTTCCTATAGAGCTCTTAAAGAATTCTCCTAGAGAACTAAAATCCCCTTTGAGGTCAAAACAGAAAGAATTTTAAGAGTTTTTCCTATAAGCTGAATTTGCTAATTCTCTACATTCTTTAGCTTTTTTTCTCCCTTTGCCTTTTCCTTCTTTTTCCTTGGAATTGGCGATGAATAACCTCCGGTTTCTTTAAATAATCTAGAAGACCAACCCACAAAGAACCCTTTAACTGCCCACTGAAACCTAACTCCAAATTCAAAAGGAAAAAAAGGTCCACGTTTTTCTTTGAATATCCTTAGCACCAGCAGCCTCTTTTGCTTGAGCAATTGCGAACTTCTCTGCTTCCTAGTTAGAATATGCTTCTTTGCGAACTACTTATCCATATGCTCATTTATATTCAAACTTCTTTGATTGATCTTTCAGACAGAATGCCAACGATTTGCATCTTCAGGTGGTTCACAGATATTTCTAGTAGTGCCACTCTGAAAAAATCGTTTCTGTTTTCATGATATAGTTTCACCAATTATTTGAATTAAAAAGAAAGAAAAGAAAAAGAGAGTTTATCTTCAGGTGGTTCGCAGATATTTCTAGTAGTGCCACTCTGAAAAAATCGTTTCTGCTTTCATGATATAGTTTCACGAATTATTTGAATTAAAAAGAAAGAAAAGAAAAAGAGAGTTTGTCAGTGAATAATCCTGCAAAGTCTCCAAACATGTAAAAACTACTTAA